ATTTCGGTGTCGCTTGCAAGCCGCGGCGGACGGGTCTGTCGGGCTGTTTTTGAGCTCAGAGCGATTCCACGAGGAGGAGCCGCAGCCCCACCCGCACACACTTGAACCCCCCCGGGCACACCGGCCCCTTCCCCGCCAGAACAAAGGCGCACCAAGCGAGACACCGGGCGATCGGGCCGTGCTCCGACGGGCAGGGGCCAACGGGGCGGCCGGCATGGGGCTGCCCCGGAGCCTCGGGCGAGACCCCTCGGAGGGGCCGGGCCGCGGCCGCCGCCCGAGGGGAGGGGGCCCAGCGGTGCCGGCCGCGGGAAGCTGGCACACGGGCCGCCTTTGTTCCGGGCAGGGCGAGCGGCGGCGGCCCCGGGCGGGGAGCGGGGCGGCCGCCCGGCCCAGCCGCCTTTGTGTCGCTCCCCGCGGGCTCCCGGGCGCCGCCAGCGCCCCCGCCAGGGCCCGGCCCCGCCGCCCCGCCGGTCCCGCGGGGCGCGGCCGCGCCTGGCACCGGCTCCCAGCCGGCACGGGGCTGCCGCGGCCCGGCACCGAACGCACAGCGCGGTCGAGCCCCGGTTCCGTCCCCGCCGGGTGAGGACCGGCTCTCCCGCTCCCCCCGCCCCGCCGCGGGGGCGTGCGGCGCCCGACAGGCGCCGGCCCGCCCCGGTCCCGCTCCCTCCCGCCCGCCCCGAGCCGGCGGCGGCGGGGACGCCGCGAGGGGACTCACCGTGACCGGGCTCCTCGGCGGGCAGGCGAGGGGGGGCGGTGCCGCCCCGCGGCGGCGGCGGCACGGCCGCCCGGCCCGCTCCGCTCCGCGGGTCCCGCCGCGGCGGCGAGGCGAGAGGCGAGCGGGGATTGCCCCGGTGCGGCGGCGGCGGTGCGGGCCGGGGGCTGCCGGGCTATGGGTGCGAGCGGAGAGCGGCGTCGGTCAAGTGCCACCGTGCACCCGCGCCTCTCCCGTACCTAAAATGGAAGTTGGTCCGGCGGGCGGGGCGGGGCGGGCGCGGGGCCGCCCCTGGCGTCAGCGCCCCGCGACACGGGCGGGCGGGGTCGGGGTGGTTCCGTCCCGGCGGGGTCCGTCCGGCGGTGAGTGCCCCGCAAAGCGGGGTCCGTCCGCAGGTGGGCTCCACCTCGGGGGGATCCCGCCCCGGGAGCGGAGCGGATGCTGCCCTGGGTGCGGGTCTGGTGGGGCGAGGGGCTCTCTGGGAGCAGCCCGACAGACCCCCGAAGCAGACCCTCCTCTGGCCTGTCCCGCGGCGAGAGACGTGCGACCCCGTCCAGGGTGGAACTTTTCCATAAGCAAGATTTCATGGGCATTTGGGCTGCAGAACCTCCCTGGGGGGTGACCCTGGCCCCTCTGGCTCCAGGGAGCAGGTGCTGGCAGGACGCTTGCCACAGCTCACCCTTGGGAGCACCACGAGGCCAGAAGCTCATCCCAGGTGGATTCTGTCCCCGCATCCCCACCGTGTCCCGCAGGCTGACACGAGCCCTGTGGAAACACAGATCAGCCCGGCCAGAGGCTCCATGCAGTGGGTGAAGTGTGGGGGCCCTTGGCACATGGGGAGAGAAATGGCAGCACAGCCCAGCCGAGGCAATATCCTGCTCTGCCCGACTCCTACAGCTCCAAACTGCCAACCCTGAAAAGGAGCAGAAGGGGACCTGGAGGTACAGAGACCCAGAGTGGGAGATGTAAACATGAGGTTTAATGATTGCAAGTAATCCAACTGAAGAAATGTAACTCTGGAATGAGCAAGAAAGCCACCCTGTCTGGCCTGCCACTCCATGGTTAAAGGATGGGAGCTGAGCAAGAGGCTGCTGCAAGCAGGGGGGGTTTCCCCTTCACTGGGGGGCAAGGAAGTGACGCCAGACCAGCTCCATCCCAAGTTCCAAGCTGCTCACTTGGGAGAAGTCCAGGTTCCCTGAAGATGACAGTTTTCTGCCTCATCCCTGGCCAGGCACTGGGGAAGTGAGAAACCAGCCTGCTTCTGACTGCCAAAGTGAGATAAGGACAGAGGAAAAGAGCTGAGTAGAGTTTTGGGTGGGACAGGTGATCCTTGGGGTAAATATGCACTGGAAGGTGGGGAAGATGCGATAACAGCCTGTGGATGGATGTGAAAAGGAGGTGATCCCCAGCTGGGTGGGGGTTGCTAAAGACAGCCCAGAAAGGTGTAAGGAGAAGAAATGGGGATTCAAGGCATGCAAAAGGCACATCTAGGGAGATTATCAGGGCGTGGGACAACCCTCCCTGGTGTTTGATTTGTAAAATAAACCATCCAACCCCCTGGCTGCGGAGGGCAGGGAGAGCTGTGGCATCTACCCCTCCCAGGGAGGAGAGGGTCTCTCCATCTCACTGCAGGGGACTGAGACCTCCCTGTGCCCCTTCATCCTCCTTGTCACCCAAAATGAGTACATTGGGTTCCCTCTCAGACCCATGCTTCGAGTGAGAACTGCTCCCAGATCACAAATAACCCTCTACGGCCCTCCCCTCCTCTTGGCTCACATAAGGAGGACAGTGGGTTCATCCCCTGAGTCTTGGGGACAAGGAGGGAGAAGAGGTGCTCTCACAGTTCCTTCTGGGAAGGAGAGTCCTTGCCCATCTGACATGTCGCAAGGAAGGTGGGTGGCCCAGAGCAGGGCACCAGGGTAAGAGCAAGGGGGAGGCAGGCAGGGTGTAGGCCTCTGGCTGCTCTAGGCAGAGTTGCTGTTTTGATCAGTCCCAAAATTTAGCAGCCTTTAAAGTCTTTAGTTTCTTCAAAGACTAAACCTGCTCTTGCAAACACGCCTCTGACGTGTTTGCTGGGCCACTGCCTCCTGTCCCCAGGGCTGCGGGATGGAGCTGGACAGGGTCTATCACTGCACGGCACTGTCAGTCCCAGCCCTGGCCAGCAGCTGGAACACCCATCAGTGTGTGCTTATTTTGGAAGGCAGGCTAGACCCTGATCCTCTAGCTCCAGCTTACCCTGCAACAGATCACACTCTTGTTTGAATACAACTCTGGCAGCAGAGGAATCTGACCCTCTGCATCCTGGGAAGAGGAGATGTGTAACTAGCATGGGAAAATTTGCCCTGTTTTCCAGTAATTGCGTGTAATAACATCTTGCACACCCCCTTTCATCCTCCGGCTGATGCCTTTCCCAGATGAGACGCCCAGAAGCGCAGCTGCCACCGGAACAGAGCAAGACAACTTGTTTACAAGGCAGTCCCCCGCTCCTGGGCGGCCGGGGGCAGGAGGAAGGGGACGCCGCCGTCGCCGGGGCCGAGGGATGGCCTGCATTGTTCCAGGCCAGGATAACAAGGCCCTTCCGCAGCCCCTTTCCTATGGGAATCCCCACAGGTTGCTGCTCCTCCCCATAGGAGGGGAAGTGTGGCACCGGGAGGGGTGGGGGGTGGAACGACTCATCCCTTGGACGAGGGGAGGAGGCAAGCAGGACCTGACGGAGCTTTCCAGCCCCAGTTGGAAGACACCAGAGAATAAAGCAAGCCCCAGAGCCCACCCTGACACCTTCCCAGCAGATCCATGTGCTTGGTGTGGTCCCTCCACCAGCCTCTGGCTATGCCTGGGCCCTCCCATGCCCACGGATCATCCCACTCTCAGCATCTGGCAGCATCCCCTCCCACCAGTGCTCTCTCGGGCTGTTCAAATTCCTGTTACATCTTTTGCTCAATGAAGAGTGCGCAGAAACCTCCTTCCCTCCCAGCCCCACAAGGATCCATCGCCACTTACAGTCTCTCCTTCCTTTCCCCCCCTCCAGTTCCTTTCCCAGCCTCAGACCCTGCCTTCATCCTTCCCTTGTGCGAGGTCCCTCCGGGAAGCAGGGACTCAGAGGCAGCTCCTGACCTGCAGTGTAGTGACACAGGCAAAGGCAACATTGCTGAACATGATCCCTGCTGTGAGACCTGAGACAAGAATTTCCTTTCTTTACAGAAACTGGCTCAGAATCTGCTGATTTGAGAGCTTAGGAGACACTGAGAAGAAGGGACTTGTCCTTTCTTACCAACCAGAGAAAGCCTGGACAGCCAGTGTAGTCTTAGGCCTTGCCTTCCCTTCTGCAGTCAATCCCACTAGGAGGTAAACCGCGCCGGACATTCCTGACCGTCAAGGGGCTCAAGCGTGCAGGCAGGGCCCTCCATGGCATCTGGATCCAAGTGCTCCCAAGTGCCTGGTGAAGTCAGGCTTTCCAAGCGACAGATCCGATCACTGTAATTCCGAAGGATTGCAAGGAGCGGGGGGAGGAAACATCTCTATTTTCTTTCTATTTCTGTGAGCACATGATAGCACTTTGATGCGAAATTACTTGTTTTACTGCATCCCTCGGTATTTTGGGTCGGGCTCCAAGCCACCCGGGGGCAGGGACAGAGACTGTCACTGACCTCAGCAGCCACAGGCCTGGGCCTGGCACCAGCCATGCTCTTCCTCAGTTTGTGCCCGTTTTGCAACAACGGGGGAGGAAAACCACCGCCACTCGTGCGACAGGACGAAACCCCCCCTCTGCAAGACCACGACGGAGAGCTTTGCACAGATTTAAAATCTACGGCAACCCCGGGCTGTTTCGTAGGAACGGCGGGTGGCTCCAGGCGGTGGGGCCGGGGTTGTTGTAACCGCTGTCCATGCGCAGCCACACTGACGCAAGGCAGCACAATGGGCGCTTTATGAGGCGGCGGAATGCTCCTGGGGCAGCCTCGACGGGCGGCTCCCAGCATATGTTCCCCGCGGGCCGCATACCCCGCTCGCCGCTCCCGGTACCCCCGGGGCCGCTCCCGCCGCGTCTCCCTCAGAGCCGCCATGGCCGCGTTGCCCCCTCCCGCCATTGGTCGGGGGGGCGCGGGGCGGGCGCCGATTGGCTGGCGGGCGCGGCGGGGCGGGGCGAGACGGCGGCGCCACGCGAGGCGGCGGGCGCGAGGCGGTGGCCGGTACCGGTGCCGGTCGCTGCCGCCCCCTCCCCTTCCCCGTCCGGCCCGGGCTCGGCCCGAGTGCTCGAGTCACCGGTGCCGCGCCGCGTGTCCCAGCAGGCCGCCCATGGGCTCCGCACCAGCGGCCCCGCCGCTGCGGTACCGCAGCACCCGCCTGCTGCGCGCGGCCTTCCAGCTCCTCCACCAGCAGCAGCAGCGGGCGGACGTGTTCTGCGATGTGGTGCTGCGGGCTGAGGGTGAGCAGCGAGCGGGCAGCACTGCCCGCGGGGGTTCCTGCGACCCCCATCCCCCGGGGGGATCAGGGCGAGGAGGAGGGGCTGCAGGACAGTAACAGCGGCCATTGCTTTGCAGGCGAGGCAGTGGTGGCCCATTGCAGCGTCCTCTCCGTCTGCAGCCCTTTCTTCATGGAGCACCTGGGCCCGGAGCTGCCCCCCCGGGGCTGCAGGGTGGTGCTGGAGCTGGCGGGGCTGAAGATTGGGGTGCTGCGCAAGCTCGTGCGCTTCTTCTACACGGCCGAGCTGGAGGTGGAGCAGGAGGAGGTGCAGGAGGTGCTGGCAGCCGCCCAGCGCCTCCGCATCACCGAGCTGGAGGCGCTGCAGCTGCAGGGGGGACGCCTGGTGAGGCTGGGACCCCAGAGGCAGCTCAACCGCTCCTGCCTGTGCTGCCCCCAGCAGGGCTCCCCCGCCATGCCGCTCCACAGGGCTGTGCCCAGCGGCGCCAGCATCCCCCCTGGGAGCACTGGGGTGTCCCCCCAGGGGCAGCCATACTCTCCGGGGCCGACACATCTCAGCCCCATCAGGCGAGTGAGGCTGCGGAAGGTGGAGAGCAGGGGATGCTGGGAGGTGGTGCGGGACACGCCGACCCCCCCCACCTTTCCCACGGTGCCAGTAGGCCATGGGGAGTTGACAGGAGCACAGCCCCCCCAGGATGTGGGTGAACTGGGAAGCGGACAGTCCCCACCTCAGCAGAACTCCAGTGCAGCCTGGAGGCAGCAGGACGGGGAGCCCCCTGTGCCCCAGCAGGGCTGTGGGCAGGCATTCCCCAGAGGTGACCCCGAGAATGAGGAGGAGGTGGATGTGGGCACAGTGGAGCCGTTCCTGCCAGTGGGCACAGTCTGCCTCTGGCCCTGCCCCTCCTCTGAGTCAGATGATGAGGTGGATGTCCTCACATAGGGGGGGCTGGCTCTGTCCCCCGCCACTGCCTGCCCTCGGGGCTGTATCCCCTGGCCTCTGCATTACTGCAATAAAAGTCTGGAGCTGTATTGTGGGGTGCAGGGCTTTATTGGAGACTGGGGGGGACAAGTGATGTGAGGGGAGCCAGGGGTCCGGCTGTGGCAGAGCTGCAGCATCGGGGACGGGACTGGGGGTGGCAGTGCCCCCTACTTGGTCTCGCCTCTTCATGGATGCTCGTGCCATGGGTGCTGGTCCTGGCTAGGCTGTGGGGAGAGGGGAGTTGGTCCCATTGCATCCCATCCCCTCCCATTCCATCGCATCCCCGCTCACCTGGCTAACGCCCTTATGCTAAGCTGCTCTTCAGGGCTTCCACCACGGTCTCCGGCTGGGGGAACTTCAGTTTGCGGGGGGGGCCCTTCCCGATGCCGCTCCACAGCTCCACGGCTGGGGAGGGAAGGGGGGCCAGGTCAGGGGGGCCGGGGAGCCCCCGCCGCTCCCGTCCCGGGCCAGCACTTACTGCTGCCGTCCTCCTTCACCAGAGACACCTCGAAGCTGTTCCTGCGCGGCGGCCGGGGGTTGATGTCCACGGCGAGGTGGGCGACGGCCCCGCGCAAGGCCTCGCTCACCGCCGCCGCGTTGCGGCCGTACACCCGTCAGCTCTTGCTGTGGGGACAACGGGGGTCAGCGTCCCGGGGGGCACTCCGAGGGCATCTCCCTACCCCCCGCCCGGCACTAGGGCCGCTCACCAGTGCTCGATGACGACGCGGGGGCCAGTGCCCCCCGAGCTGCCCTCGTCCTGGGCCTGGGTCCGCGCCCGCTTCTGCGGGGCTTCCGCCGGTTCCGATGCCTCGGCCGCCGCGGGCTGCCGGGCCCCGCGCTTCCTGCCGCGGGGAGCCATCCTGCGAGAGCCGGGGCGGGGGGGGGCTATGCTGAGGTCTCATCGTGGGGAGCGGGGTCCCGGGGATCCCGCTGAGGGGTGGGAAGGCACCCCAAGGACCCCGCTATCCCCCACCCACGCGGACGTTGCTTCGGAATGGGGTCAGGAAGGGTCGGTCCCCGGCGATGCGCCATGGGGGAAAAGGGGAGTTCCTGCTGGGATGCTGCTGTGGGGGGCGGCATCCACCCAGGGATGCCGCCACGGCGTGTGGGTGGGAAGGGAAAAGGGAAAGGAGAGGTTCCTGGGGAAAGCGGGGAATAGGCCCTACCTGCCGCTGGCCACGTGTCTGGAGCGCGCACGGCCGGGGAGGGGGCGTGGCCGGAAAGGGACTCAGTGTCTCCGCCCTCACCAGCCAATCAGAGCGCCGAGCGTCCGCCTAGACCCCGCCCCCGTCAGCAAGCCCCGCCCCCTGCGTGGACTGGGACACCGGCACACGGGACACTGGGACACGGGACATTGGGACATGGGCACCGCACGGACCGTTTATTGTCAGCGATGAGAGAGCGCGAGCGTTACAACCGAGGCGGGGCCCCTCCTACCGCCCTGCCCGCACCGGGCCGGGGGGCCTCGCCACTCTCCCAGGGCTCGGCCGGGACCGACCCCCACGGAGAGCGGTGCCGGGCAGGACCGGGCGAGGCCGGTGCCACCAGCGCGATGGCGGCGTGGTGATGGGCGACAGCGCAGGGAAGCTTCTACTTGTCCTTCTTGGTCTCCCCCTCCGCGTGCCCGGTGGCTGCGGGCGGGGCCTCCTCGGGCCCCTCCTCCTGCGGCTTCGACTGCTTCTTGGCCTTCTGATAGAGCTCGTTGAGGTTGAACTCTCGGATCACGTTCTCCTGTGGCCCAGAGGCAGCGTCAGCACCCCCAGGGACCCCCACGGTCCCCCTCCCTTCCCAGGCACAGGGCAGGAAGGTCCCACCCACCTCGGAGAAGGTCCAGGACACGGCCCGACCCTTTTTGTCGATCTGGGGCCGCCGCATGATCTCTGTGCCCCCCTGGAACAGGATGAGGGTGGGCAGCTGCTTGGTAAGGGGCGAGGTGCTGACCTTGTACCTGCGGCAGGACAGGCCCACAGTGAGCCCCGGGCAGCCCAAGGGGGCCAGGGGGTCCCAGGGGCCACGCCGGGGTGGGCCAGGCCATGTCCCCCACACCTGGTGCTGACGTCCGTGTACCGGCCCACGTCCACCTTCCCAAACTGCAGCCCCTGGCAATTGTACCTGAGCAGGAGGGCACAATGAGCTGGGGGGGAAAACGGGGGACCACAGTCCCTGCAACCCCCCAAGGCCCCAGCGGGCACCACTCACTTGAGAGAGAGGTCGGCAAAGATGGGGGCGAAGGACTGGCACTCACTGGACCAGTTGGCAAAGAACTCCACGATCCATGTCACCCGCTTGTCCCTCTCCAGCTCTTCCTGCCATGGGGGCAGGGGCTCAGGATGGGGGGAGGAGGAAGGCAGAGCCCCTCAAGACCCCCAGAGATGGGGGGATACTCACATCAATGGTCTTGTCGCTGAAGTACTTGATGTACTCGGGGCCCATGTACAGGGGGGGCTTGCAGGTCATCAGGAACACTGCAAGGACAGCACCCTGAGCCCACAGAGCCAGGCTGGGACTGGGACAGGGCTCCTCTGCCCCAGAACCAGGACACAGCGAGCCTAGGGCAGGGAGCCGTCCCCCCCAAGGACACTCACTCTGCACACCCACAGCCCCCTGTGGCCGTGAGGGTTACCCGGGGGCAGGAGGGGGCTCTCCCAGGGGCACAGGCAGGGCACAGGCTGGACTAGGGGCTCTAGGGCTGACCCAGAGCTGCCCCAGCAGGGCTCACCTATGCAGAGCGTGAGGTAGAGCAGCCCCATGCGGATGTCGAGGCGGAAGAACAGGATGGCGTTGGCCACTTTGCTGAACATGAAGATGTTCCCGATGTGCTGCTCCACGGTGACTGCAGACGGGATTCAGGGATGAAGGGATGGGACCCAGATCCCCCGCCAAAAGGGCTGGGGGGGATCCTGAGGGAGGGCTGGATCTGGTGCTCCAGACTCCATCCCACTTCACTCCATAAGCCCCATAAGCAGCCCCCTGTGCTCCCCCGACTCACTGGAGCGCCGGTTCTTCATCATGACGATGGCGCTGAGAAACATGAGGATCTCCACCTCCCTCTGGCACAGAGAGGGGACAGCGTGAGCCTGCGCTCCTGCCAGGCCCGGCCAGTGCCCGGAGGCCTGCTGGACCGGCAGAGCAACAACGGGGGCTACGGGGCACGCCCTCCCTCAGCCGGGCCAGGGGGCTGCGAGGGCAGGAGGGGAGCCAGGGGGTGCGGTATAGGCCGGGGGCCGCGCCACCTCACCCAGTCAAAGTCGCAGGGGTTGCCATCCTCCCGCTGCGAGGGCAGCCCGCGGCAGAGCGGCGGAACCTTGCGCACGATGAGGAAGGCGGCGGCGAGCAGCGCGGACAGCGGGTAGTAGGGCCGCGCGAGCCAGCGGCACAGCCCCGGCAGCGCCCACAGCAGCGCCAGCAGCGGCGCCACCACCGCCATCTTCCCCGCGCCCCGCCCGCTGCCCCGCGGGGGCGAGGCCTTGCGGAGTCGGCCAATGGCGAGCGGCGCGCCGGGTGCTCCCCTGCGCCGCGGGCCAATGAGGGGGGACACAGAGAGGGAGAGGCTGCCAATCGGAAGGCCGGGATGAATCTCCCTTAGCAACGGCCGCAGGGGCGGGGCCGGCGCTGGGCCCATGGCGGGGCGGGGTAGCCCCGCGCGGGGCCCGCCGGGAAGATGGAGAACTTCTCGGCGCTCTTCGGCGCGGCCGATCCGCCGCCCGCCGCCGCCGCCGCCGCGCTCGGCTTCGGGCCTGCCAAACCGCCGGGCGCCGGGGCCGCACCGCCGCCCGCCGCTGCCGCCGCGCCGCAGCCGGGCGAGGATGCGGCCCGCAAGGCCGCCACCGGCCCCTTCTACCTGCTGCGGGAGCTGCCAGGTGCGGGCGGGCCGCGGGGCAGGGCGTGGGCCGCCCTCGGTTAATCGGCGCGGCCGCGAACTGACGGCTCCACCGAGCAATGGGCGCGCGCAGGGGGCGGGGCCGGGCGGTGGGGGGCCCCCCAGGGCTGGGGACAGGGCACGGGGATCCCGGGCTGGGGTGGGCGGAGGGTCCGAGGATCACGGGGCCAGGGCAGGGCAGGGGGATCCCAGGGCTTTGGCAGGGGTGGGGAGCGAGGCCGAGGGGTCCCGGTGCCCCGGCAGACCGTTTTCCCCCTCGCCATCCCATCGCGCTGCCGCCCAGGCACCACGGAGCTGACGGGCAGCACGAACCTGATCACGCACTACAACCTGGAGCACGCCTACAACAAGTTCTGCGGGAAGAAGGTGAAGGAGAAGCTCAGCAACTTCCTCCCCGACCTGCCCGGCATGATCGACCTGCCCGGCTCCCACGACAGCAGCAGCCTGCGCTCGCTCATCGAGAAGCCGCCCATCTGCGGCAGCTCCTTCACGCCCCTCACGGGGGCCATGCTGACCGGGTTCCGCCTGCACGCCGGCCCGGTGAGCCCGGGGCCAGCAGGTGGGAGGGGGGTGGGAGGGGCTGGCGCGGCCTGACCGGCCCCTTCTGTCCCCAGCTGCCCGAGCAGTGTCGGCTGATGCACATCCAGCCCCCCAAGAAAAAGAACAAGCACAAGCACAAGCAAAGCCGCACGCAGGACCCCGTCCCCCCAGGTAAGAGGATGTCACAGCCAGACCCCCTCCCCCGCAGTGGTGCCGGAGCTTCGGCTCATCTGGCGCTGCTGCTTTCCCAGAAACCCCCTCGGACTCCGACCACAAGAAGAAAAAGAAGAAAAAAGAGGAGGATCCAGAGCGGAAGAGGAAGAAGAAAGAGAAGAAGAAAAAGAAGGTGGGTAGGGAGGTCCGGGGTCCAGTTCCCTGCCCACATGTCCCCAGGGGGCTACTGCCCAGCATCTCTCAGAGGCTCAAGTCTGTCCTTCCTCCACAGAACCGGCACAGCCCAGAGCACCCGGGTGTGGGCAGCTCCCAGGCCAGCAGCAGCTTGCGGTGAGACCACTCCGGCACTGCCCCGGGGACCCCCCAGCCGATGGCCCCGGTTGACCCCGAGGGGCTTGGCCCTGTGTGACCCTGGGCAGGGGCGCAGGGCTGGCCTGTCCACCCCCCGGCAGAGGGGACACCCCCACTGGGACCAGAGGCACAGACTCTGGGGGTGCTGCCCTTAGGCTTTTGTACCTAAAGACCCCGGAGCATCGAGGCCTGTTTTTTAGCCCTCTGAACTGAGGGCTGCCGAGACCCTTGGCTGGCACGGCGTGGGGAGCAGCCCTGAGCGAGGGGTCCCTGGACTGTGCACGGTCAGCACCACCCTGAGCTCCTGCCCCGGCTCTCAGCCTGGCTCCTACCTTGGCTTTGGCCTTGTCCTGCTCTGGCCTTCACCTCCCAGGCCTGCTGAGGATGGGAGGGACCTCTGGAGAGGCACCATGTCCCTGCACGGAGGTGGCAGCTGCCGCAGGCACCGGGATCTCCAGCCGCAGTCACAGAGACACCACAGCCCTCCTCCAGATCTCGAGCCTCACCAGCACCTGCCACACCTTCCCTGGAGCAGCTTTCCCCGTGCCTGGAAAATCCTTACATTTCGTGGGAGCAGTTTGCCCCAAAAGGAGCCCGAAACGTGGCTGGGCTCGGCTCTCCCCAGGCCCCCCTTCCCTTTCCCCCCTCAGGATGGGGAAAGCCGAGACCCTGAGGAACAGGAGCTTCTCTGTCCCTGGACGCCAAACAAAGCAAACACACGGCCCTGGGGCAGCTCATTAAATATCCTTTTATTTCTTGTCTTTAAAATGGCTGATAATAATAAAAAACCCTGGCGTGGCTCTGCGGGGCCACAGGAGCTGTTGCCGTAGAGAAAGAGTCCAGTAGTGCCTGCAGGGCCACGGCTTTGCCCGGGCAGGGCAGGGGATGGGGAGCACGGGGCTCCTTGGCTGCGGGTTTTTTTTTTTTTGGCATGTGATGAGAAAATATTGCTTTCCGGGGATGTGCCCCACGGACCTGCCTCTTCCCCGAGCAAACGGAAATAAAAACACCCCTGTGACAGCGAGCAACTCCATTGGAATCATTAAACAAAAAACAAAGGCAACAAAACCAACACCCATAACATCTCCCCCTCCCCCCCCCCCGACCACAGCCCTCAGGGAAAAGGAGAAAGAACAAAAACCATGGGTGGGGGAGGCTGGAGTCCATGAGGGGCTGGGGGTGTGGGAGGGGGCTGCCCCTGTCCTACCTTGTCTGTGGGCCCCCTGGGGGTCTGGAGGCTGCGCACATAACGGACCGGGGGGGAGAGCATCTGAGGCCTTGGGACAGGGCACCAGAGGGGCACCTGGCACCCCACAGCCCTGTGGCCCCACTGCGGGTGGGACAGTGACGCCCAGGACCTGCACTGGAAACCCCACATCCCTCCTTTGGGGATGAGGACCAAGTTGGGGGGGCCCAGACCCCCAGGCAGGGAGCGGGCAGTTTCTTTTTCTCTCTGGGTAAGATATATAATTTCTGCTTTTTCTTCTTCTTCTTTTTTTTTTTTTTTTTTTAATATTTATATTTATATATATAGATATTTATATATACACACACCTGGTAACTCGGAAAGAGAAAAAAAATAGAATCCGTAACAATAATAATAAAAAAAAGTATTCTGGTTTAAAAACAATCCGTTCCTACCACGCCAGGCGAGCGGGTGATTGCACAAGGCCCACAAGTGGCTGGCGCAGCCGAGGCGGTGCCGGGGCTGCAGCTCCCCCCTCCCCCCCAGAGCCCCCCGAGGGTGTGTGCCAGCCCCCACAGCCCAAGGGGTGGAGAAGGAGAAGGGCGGGGGGGCCGCTGGGCCGTGCCTCCACCCGGCTCCCCCTGGAGTCCACAATCGTCCGGCAGTGCGTCCCTGGGGGCCACCCCGGGGAGGAGGGGAGGGGTGAGCGGCTCTGCCCCTCATACCGAGATCTCGTAGGTGGTGCCCCCCACGCCCGACACCTTCTTGACACCGCCGCGGGTGGGGCTGCTGAGGGGCACTGGGCCCGGCGGGGCCGAGCCCAGGCTCTTGGGCTGCCCGTTGGACTTGCTGTAGGCTGTTCTCATCTGCACCTCGTCCCTGTGGGGAAGGAAGGACGGACGGACACAGGGTCAGGAGTGGGGATGGCTCACCTCAGCCACAACCTTGCCCTCCCCAGGGACCCCCAGCCCACCCCAGCCCCTGAGGGGCCTGTGGAGGTGTGGGGGGAACCAACTCTGTTCTGGGAGGAGGAGGACTTCCCTTGCCCTCCCCAGGGACCCCCAGCACTCACAGCCCACTCCAGTTCCCATGGGGTGACCAAAGAGGAGTGGAGGGCACCAGCTCTAGTTCTGGGAGGAGGATTTCCTTTGCCTTTCCTCAGGCAACCTGCAGCATCTCTCCACATTTTGCTGCCCCAGGGAGTTGGATCGGCACTGGGCATGGGGGCACTGAGCAGCCACCTCCCTGCCAGATGAGGGTCCCACCCCACAGACCCTGCTGTGGCTGTGCCATACTCACTTTGGTGCCAGTAAGGGCTGCAAGGCCACCTCCTCCGTCTCAGGGCCGCCAGCCTGCGAGGCTGATTTTTGGCTGCTGTAAGACACGGATTTGCCCAGGTGGGGGGCAGCAGGCTGGTCAGGGGAGCCCAGCGAGCGCACCCGCAGCGCCGGGGGGGGCTCGGGCTTCCCAAAGCGGGGCAGGGCCGGGCGGGTGAGCAGGTTCTTGCCCAGGGGCGAGCGCTTCGAATCGTCCGAGGAGGAGCTGGTGCGGGGGGCATTGCTGGAGCCTGGCGTTGACTGGATGCCCGAATCCGCCAGCCCCGCATCCTCCTCCCGGCCTGGGGCCGGCGGCTGCTGCAGCAGCTTCTCCCGCTCCTGGATAGAGGCCACGATGTGGCGGGAGAGATTGTCATAGCGCACGGGCGAGGGCTCGCGGGGCGCCACGTGCTTGGGGGAGGCGGTGCTGGCGAAGCGGCCGTGCAGGTCGGTCTCTCGCTGCTGGGCGATGCGGGCTGACAGGAAGGGCGAGGTGTAGCCCACGGGCGGGTCGGGCTCCGGGCCCGCCTGCACCGACTCGAAGTCGGGGCTGTCGGAGGGTGTGAGCAGGCTGTCGTATGAGAGGCTGCCGTTGCGCGTCTGGTTCACCAGGCTCTTGTAGGAGGTGGAGGTGGTGCCCTCGGAGCGGATGGACTGCAGGTGGCCCGTCTCAAAGCCCGTGCCTTGCGCCGACTTGAGGCTGGAGGAGCGGGAGCCGCTGGACAGGGGGTCGAAGTGGAAGCTCTTGCCAAAAGTGGGCGAGCGGAAGCTCTCGGGCTCCAGGCTTGGCTCCGAGCGGTAGCTGGGCTTGTGGCCGCTCTCACAGATGGAGTTGGGCTCCTTCAGGCTGTTCACTCGGCTCAGCTGAGGGGCAGAAGGACAGCAGTCAGCCACAGAATGACAACAGGGTCCCTGCAGAGCTCTGGACACCCATCCCAAACCCTCCCCACATCAGGAACACCATCCACTTGGGGCTGGTCCTCCACACCAGGCCTGACCTTACCTTGGCGCTGGTAGAGTGGGGCAGGGCTGCTGAGCTGCTGCTGCTGCTGTAGCCAGGCCGGTACTTGTACATGGTGGGAGTCGGGGGGCTGTCCTTGCCTAGCAGGCTGCTGTCTGCACCAGGAGAGAGGAGCACGCTCAGGGGGACAGCAGCTCCCTGGGGCTGCAGGGAAGGAACGCACCCAGCCCTGCCCTCCCTGCCCAAGAACCGGCTCGAGCCTGGGGCGGACAGTCCGGGGAGGGAAGGATGGGCTGGAGGGGAGGCGCAGCAGGGCGGGAGAGACGGAGCAGGATGAAGGGGTGTCCCCACAGCCACGTGTGTGGAGCTGGCACTTCCACGCCCCTGCAGCAGCCCCGGCTGGGTGACACCCTGGGGGGGTGCACTGCACGGGGGTGCCGGGGCACTCTCCCCAGGGACACACACACTGCAGCCCTCAGTGGGCAGCGAGGCCGGGCGGTGCAGCCCAGCTGGGGCCGGGAGAGCTGTGGGGTCCCCAGCCGCTGTGGGAAGCAGCTGCCACAGGCTCTGCCCATCACATCCCACCTCTGGCCAAGCCCAGGCAGGAGCCGGCCAAGACGCGCTGTGCCGCCGAGCCGGGCCCGCCACCGCTTCGCCTCCTTCGTCCCAGCGGCGCAGTGGCTGCAAGGCACAGCTCCCCGCGGCTCCGGGCAGCGCCGCGCCGGCTCGGCCTTCCAGCTGTCAGCGTCCCGCAGGCTTCTCCAAGCATGAGGGGCCGCACACAGCGGCCCGGGGAGTGCGGCGGTGCTGGTGTGCTCCGGGTCTGCCCTGCAGCCTGTTAAAGCCGCCTATGGCCCTGGCTCCTGGCCTGCCTGGCACAGCCCTGGGCTCCCTTCCCAGCGGCTGCTGGGGCCCTGGTGCCCTCCTTACCCTCGGTGGTGGCCAGGGTTAAGTGTGTCCTCAGGCCCGTGTAGCGGCTGAGGTCGGGCTTAGGTGGGGGTGGCGGCTCGGCATCAGCAGACTGGCTCTCCGTCACTTCCAGGCTCCCCTTGGACTGCAGAGACAAAGCGCGGGGGGGGGGTCAGAGGGGGCCAAGGCCTCAGCCCCCCAGGTGGGCAGGGAGCGGGCAGTGGTGCTGGGGGCTCTCGCTGTCCCCCTGGGCCATCCAACAGACCACGCGCTCAGGGCTGGCGTGTGCCCCGGGTGCTGGAAGTGCCAAGGAGGGGGGACCTCCAAAGGGTGCTGTGCGGGGAAGGATGGAACCAGGAACGGCAAAGCCTCATGTGGCTGCTGCCACATGGGAGGGACATGGTTTTTGTCTTGTGGGGACACAAAACAAGACGACACGGAGGGGGACGAGGGACGTGACCAGGCTCACTCGGTTCTCTACTCACAGATGCAGGCTCGCACCCCTGGGCTCCATGGAGGGCCCCAGCGCGGGCAGCGCTGGTCCCCACCTTCCTCACCTTCGTCCTCTTCAGCTCTGTCTGGATACCGTTGTCCATGATCTTGACGGTGATCTGACCATCTGACACCTCGGGCCGCAGGAAGGGGGGTCTCACCAGCACCGTCT